AATTTCCTAGGAACCAAGGATGATGGGTACCTTTGTCTGTGTGGAGAACTGCCTGGCAGTCAAAGGTCACATAAAGGTGAACTAATTTAATCACCCTCAACTTGTGGAGTAAACAGTGTAAGGGGAATGAGAATAGTTGCTAGGATAGAAGAGCTAGGCAAGCAGTAGACAGACAATAGAATGTTATAACAACTGAGAGTAGAAATAGATAAAGATTTTGGGCGGGATATTTTGAGAATGTTAGGTTGGGCTTCTTTGGCAAACTAAGTGCCAAAGAAAAACAAGACAACAATGTAGTTAGAAAGAAAGGCAAATCTTACTAATCAGGTAAACCAATGACTTATCAGTGAGGAATGTTCTTGGCTGCATGAAACAATATGCAAATGAAAAATAGTAGAAAAATTGAGATGTGTTTTTTTCTTACATAACAAGATATTTCATTTCACTGTTTCATGTCACATGTTCACGGCTGATCGTGCTAGTTTATTAGCTGAAGGATGTGTTAGGACCTTTCTTCCTTTCTGCCTTGCCATCTTAGAATATTAGCTTTCATCTCCATGCTTACTGTCTCTTGGCCACAACCTGTCTGCTGCAGATCCAGCCATTTTGTCTGGATGGGAGACAGAAAGAAAAAGTGAATAGCAGAACCTGCCTCATTTGTCCTCTTTTACAAAGAAAGCTTTCTGGGATGTCCCCTTTCTTAGCAAAGTTCTGCTCCAATCTCATTGGCTGGAAGCAGGCCACAGTGTCACCCTAATTGCCAAGAGCAGCTTACACATCACCAGCACCTAGGCAACTTGCTGCACTGAACAGAATAATAATTCTTTTAGGAGGGAGAGAATGTTTCCACCTGAAAATGGAATGAGAAACACACATATTTCCTAGTTTAAATAGAAAACCTATCTTCTACTTTATTTTCTCTCAAAACCTGTTGTGTGGTTGCCTATCAAGTTAAGTCCTATAAACCCAGCAATTCATGCCCAGAAATGTTCCGATGTCATTCTTGGCCATCATTTCTTCTTTTGCTATTCTGTACCTCACGGCATTACTGCTATTGTGGTTTGTCAATTTAAGTAACATTACTGAGTAGTTAATTACAAGACACTTCGTTAAGGGGCTCTAGGAGTCTTAAAAATAATATTTATTGTGGGAACTCCTCAGTGTAGTAATTCTGGTTCAATGTCCTGCTGGAGCCAGGAATGGAAGACAGGTTCTCCAGCCTGAACTAGAACAGAATGCTCACTACAGGGTCTCCTGTAGGACACGTTCTACGGCCTCTTTGTATGGGAGGAGTGGTGCCAAACCCTGCTTCTGGTGGGGGTGGGCGGGGAGTGGAGGGTGAAGAGGGCACATGCTCTAGAGAAGGAAAGAATAAACTACGTGTGCTGTCTCTTAATACCGTTAAACTATTGAGTTTCAATGTCAGATCCAAAGTTCTTTCTCCCTTCCTATTCTCTAATACCTGTTGGTATTTCACTGACTCAAGATTGTGATTTTTTACAAAATGGCCACACATTGCATAAAATTCTAGTATCAGTTTCAACAGGCATTTCTGAAGCTGCTTAGTTTGGTCCAAAATTATTCTAGCAATGCATTTTTTTCTGATTTCTACAACTCTCAGATTCATGAAGTTGATATTTAGGGATCCAAATGAAAGAAGAAGCAAAACATTTTTGATCCTATAATTCTGTAAAATTGGGTTTTCCATTCAACCATAATTGTAGTTAGGTCTCTTTTCTTTTTATCAAGCCTTTTCTTTCTTGTTTGAAGGAGTCACGTTCTAAGTGACTCCTAGATTCAGTTCCTTTCTATATTAGTAAAAGTACAAAATGACCACATTTTAAAAATAATTACAAAATTGCTAAATCAGTAACCTATAAAGTATATTATTAATAATTTGTCTCAGTTGTTGCTTTTGGTTTTGTCTTCCCAACTGAAGCATTGGCTTCTCATTGGAATGCACTTCCCCTTTTTTCTGTTTCCAAAGAGCCTAGGTTTACACTTAAGTAAAGCAAGGGACAGACCAACAGACCCTGGGGTAGGGGTGGTGGTGAATAAGCTAGGCCTTTGCCCTTAAATGGTTTTCCTTTTAATCTGAGACATCTAATAGACAAACAAAAAAATGTCTCTTTGTGTTTTGTCTGTCCCTTTTGTTCTCAGGGAAGTGTGAACAATTTTGCATGCTTGTGCTTAAGTCCTTCATCCAAACTCAGCTGCCTCTGAGCTCCTAAACTACCAGTTATACCCTGTCTCTTTAGTGTCCTCATGTCTTTCTCCCCATTGATGCTTTTCTCTCAGACTACAGATGTTCTCAAACCTTTCTCATCTGGAGTTCACCACCACCCTCTATCTCCACATCTCTGTTTCAATTATCCTCACTCCAGTGTTATCTGGTTTTCCTGGATTAACAAGTTCCAGCAAGAGGCTTGGGTGGATGAAAAAGCCTAACACATCTACTTGGGTAAACCTGTTTTAAATCAACAGAAGGAAGTCAGTACCACTGGGCTGTGTGGCAAGCTCAGAAACTGGTACCAGGATAGGCACAGATGCAAGTTATTGCTGGCGATAACATCTGAGAATGAGGGAGGGCCATGTTAGAGCCATTAGTTTACCTAAACCCCCAGATCCAGCATCATGTGGCCTAATCTATCTTATTCACCTCATGCAGACCAGGTGTATTTAAGCAACAATGGTTTCTCACAGATATAGTAGAAATACCAGAAAATGAGGCATACTGGGTATACTCAGCATTAACAAAATTCTCATTCTTTGTCCTCAGACTTTCAAACTATTACACCATGAGCCAAACACATTTCTGAAGTCAGAGGTGGGAGAGAGGAATGAACGTCAGTCCCCCAAGTACATACTGGATTTGTGCTAGTGACTCCTTAGACCAGCTAGGTTTATTCTGTAACTTATTTTCAGTTCACAATGTATTCATTCTCCTATTTTCAGTTTCCACTCTTGAAATACATGCCTCTTGAAATTCTTGTTTCTTGGCTTTTTAGATTGACTATTTCTTTTCAGTCTGTTTAACTAGCACAATCATTAAATCTTAGTGAAACTAGAAGAATAGCTTGCACTTTCTGATACTTGTAACTTAGAAGGTAGGGTGTATGCTTCTGTGTGTGTGTGTGTGTGTGTGTGTGTGTATGCATGCTCCAACACTTATCAACTGGGCACTCAAAAAATGAAGTGATATATGTGTACACAGAATTAAGGGGAAGGACTGAAGGAGATTGGGCTTGCAGTGCTTATAATCACTGTGGATTCTTTCATCTAGGGCCTGTGGGGTATGTGATTCTAGACCAACTAATCCAGGTGTGCAGAAATGTTTTGCTGGGGAAGGAGGAAGTATCCCTATGAGAAGATCCAACCTTTTAGGAAGTGAGTAGTATATTTTTAAAAAAGGCTATTCATCCATGTAGTAGGTCTGGGGCAGGAGGGGGGCTCTTCTCCAAAGGATGTTGAATAAGATTAGGATCTGAGTGTCATCCTGCCAATGCACTTCATAAAAGGTGTAGCTTCTAAACTGCCTTTCCCTTGAACTACATATGGCAGAGTCACAATCTTTTCTTCATATATTGTGATCTTGTTATTTTCTTGAACATGTCCGTGAAGTGTGATATACTCCCATGACTTGTGTAATGAGCAAGTGGGGAAAGCACATGAGAGAGCCCAAGGGACCTGGAGGACTCATCCTTGTCTCTGAGACCAATCCATGCCCTTCCTCTTTTCAGACACACCCAGTGGAGGTGAATAATGGGCAGAGCAAAATTAACATGTTTCGCATTTGCGTTAACTTGCTTTTTGTATTCCACTCTCTTCTCTGGCGACGTGTGCCTCTGGAAAGTCTGTCTTCTCACACTGGCATGAAAGATGCCACCAACCTGCTCACTCCCAAATCTGTCCCGTTAGCTCAGAGTTTACTCCCCAGCCCAGCCTGATCCTGGGCATCTTCACCTGGATATCCTTTCTCTATCTGCTTCAGGCCAATTTTTTTTACCTTCTTTCTCTCTGCCACTCCACTACTTTCCTCCCTAAAAGCAATGGTGTTTTCAGAATAAATCAAGAAGAACACAAACTCTTTTTTTGTCTCTTATCTACATCACTAAATACTCCCCATTTCATCCCTAACATATTTTCCAATTTCATTTCTTCCCCTGCACCTCATTCTCACCGGACGCATTCCTTCTCACTTAGTCAATTCTTCTGCCCTCTGTTGCCACCTCCTGCCCAGCCTCTTTCCACCAGCTTTATGTTTCTAACCCGCAATTCAACTTAATTTAAATAAAAAGTAGAATACATGAAAGTTTAAAATTTCTACATGGCATATTTTTCTTAGCAAGTTTCAGCAATCAACTCTTTAAGTGTCATTGTCCTTCCTTCTCAATGTCGGTAATAAGTCCTGTATTCCAGCACTCTGATACACTAGCTATTCTTCTAATATGCCATATTCTTTATGTTTTTGCTCCATGATTTTGTACACACTATTCTTTATAGCCAAAATACACCTACCTACTTTCCCCTTTTGTCCAAATGTCAAGGTCTTAATCATCCCACAAAACCAAGTCCCTGTGATTTATCCTTAGGAAGCAGCCCCTGACTCTTTCCATCAGACCTCCTTGGAAATGCCCTTCTTTGTCCCCAAACACTTTCTGCATGTAACTTTACTGTAACATTTGGGGGTAAGGGTGGGGGGAGGAGTCTGTAAGTTTTTTCAACTGAGTTCTTTTGTGCTTATATTCTCTTTTAAACTTGTATCTCTACAACCTAGCACATAATACCTTGCATATGATAGGCACCTAATAAGTGTTAAGTAACCAAAGAGAGAGTACATTTAAGGCCAACTCACGAGGTTTGGTTACTAAAGTGGAGTTCAAAATTGAATAAAGAAAAATTGCCACCTCATTCAACTGTCAAGGAAATGCACATGTACGTGAATATTCTCTTGCGATGATAGTTTTTCACAGCTCGTTAGGACAGAGTCACAGAAAATCTCCCCAACACAGATCTCTAATTTTTATTTAGGATTAATGTGTATTTTTTATTCCCACACAGAAATAGAATTTCCCCCCAAGGTTGCTGGTGTAGACTTCAATGATGTATTCCTGACACTCGCCTTCAGCAAGTCATGATTCATCTCCCTGGATCTCACTCTGAGCCTGTAGCAGATATGGAGAGTTTTCTGAAGTTTCTTTTATGTCCAGCAAGACTGGCTGAGACTGGACATGAAAGCTGTCTAAATACTCTAATCTATTCCCAACCCACAGAAATGCAGGCTTCACACTCTCTCTGTTCACTGTCATGAATCATGATGCTGACAAGTACGTCCGATTCATAACATTAAACACAAGCTGGTAGGAGTGACTTCTTCCTGCATCCACTGGGAAAGGCCATGGGTGTCCTTTCGCAGGTCTGAGCTTCTCCTGCCAATGTAAATGTAAAGCTGGAAGAAGCTGAAAGGTAGCCAATCTTTATTTTATTTTCCCTAGGATAAACAAGATTCATTTCTTGCCATGAGAGGTCCCTATCCTATTTTCGTTAAATCTGCTTGCTGCCTTCTGGAAATTCCATTGTGTCATTGCTATAAAGTCTATTAATATTCTATTATTGGGTTGTTATTATCATGGCTTTTATTATAATGAATAATAATGTGCTGTAGCTACATGGCACCTTTCTTCTTGGATCATCCTGCTTAGCCTCATAAAAGAAATTAATCAAGTTACATCTTTAAGGAAAGCATTAAGCTACTTCATTGTAAAAGCAAATTTCCTCTGTTTGCTCTGATTGCAATTGTGTACAGTTTTCTGAAGAGGCATGTTAAAATACAGTATCAGGGGTAATTTCAAATCGGCCATTATTTGAACCAATTGATTGGTCTCCTCAAATTCTTTTAAAGTGCTTTTAAACACCATGTGAAAGTACAGATATATACTCTTGAAGCACAACAAAGAGATCAGTGTATATATTATATATAAATGCAGAGGTTCCCTTTTCCTAGTGTAATACACATTGTTAAATGTCTGTCAGGAAAGGTGCCTGACAATACTGAGCTGCTGGCCACGGTTTCCTTGCTCCCCCTGCTCAGAGTACTTACGCGAGTCTACGCAGAAGCCACAGGCAGGAGTTATCCCCGTAGTGTCTCATACTGAGTCTTCCCACTCCCTGATTTCTCCCTCAACATGAATAACTGTTAAAATTCCATTCTCTGCAGAGAGAGATAAGAAGAAAGATAATTATCATATTCAATTTACATAAGAGGGAATTTCTGATAATATCTAATTGTTGGGCTTAGATTTGAATTTCCTTTTTTTTCTCTAGGTAAGTTTGGCCAAGTTCTTGTTATACCATCCTATCTCTTAAATTCATCTTTCAAATTTTCTGCATCTGACATAAGACAACAATAAAGAGATAAAGAGGGAATTCTTTCCATTTAGAGCTGTCTTTAGCCCCGCCCCTGACATCGTGATCACGGGCTGTTTGCAATTCAGCACCTGAGTTCACGTCAGCGGAATCAGGTCTAAATTAGGCTGTTTTCACACTGGTCTCTCCATGTGCCTTTTGGCTGTGTAGCCTTTGGTTTAGGGTCTGTATGTATCCAGAAGCAAGAATAGTCTTTTTAAAATAACAGCCATAATCACAGAATACATACACACTACCTAACAAGACCTCACAGCAAGTTTTCCTTATAGAACAGAGAGACAGAGAGTTGACTTAGTTTTATTCATGAGGTGATTCTTAATTCAGATGTGAAAACACTGTAGGTAAGTGAGATAAAGAGTCACAACAGTCAATTCTAATTCCCATTTGCAATTGGAGTCCTCCTCTTTCAAATTAATTCTAACTCACTGTAGTAAGGTGAATAATGGCCTCCATTCCCTATTCCCCCCAAACCTGTGAGTATGTCATCTCACATGGTACAAGGGATTTTGCAGGTGTGACTGAATTAAAGATTTTGAGATGGGAAGATTATCTTGGATCATCTGGGCGGGCCCGATACAGTTACAAGGGTACTCGCTCTTGTAACAGAGGAAGGAAATCAGAATTATAGAGGAAATGAGGTGGAGGTGGAAGTAGAAAGAAAAAGACCTTCAAAGGCACAATGCTACTGGCTTTGTAGATGGAGAAAGGGACCACAGACCACAGAATGTGCATGGCCTTATGAGCCGCAAAAGGCAAGGAAACAGCTTTTGCTTTAGAACCTCTAGAAGGCAGGCAGGCTTGCTGCACCTTGATTTTAGCCAGTGAAAGCCATTTTGGACTTCTGACCTCTAACACTGTAAGACAATGATACATTTGTGTTGTGTACACCACCTAATTTGTTACAGCAGCAATGGAAGACTAATGAATTTAGTGACAATGATTAAGGGAAGGGTAGAAGTTAAGATCACAGATTGGTCTGGCTGGGTTTGTATCTTGGCTCAGCCATTTATCAGTTGTGTGAACTTGAGCAATTTATGTTCTGTGTAGCTCTGTTTCCTTTTCTTTAAAATGGGTACACCTATATCACAATGAGTGTCATAAAGATTAAATTAATTAGTTCATTAAAGAAGCTAAGAATAGTACCTGGTACTAAATTTGTGTTCAATAATGTTAGCTATTTTAGGAAAAAAAATAACAAGACTTAATCAGTGCAAGATTAGAAAATTTTTGTCTCGGGTAATAATTAGTGATGGGAATTTAAAGCTAACCTTTGTTGGTTTCCATCTCTTTCCATGAAGCATATTGGTGTTAGATTTATTCTGATTCTCTGTCCATTGTTGTGGTAAGATTTCTATCTACTTCTGCTCAGTTCTTCAGGTTATCATATAGAATTTGTTTGGCATTGGAGCTCTAACATACAAACTGAAATAATATATAAATCCAGAGATTCTATAAAGTTTGTTAATACTTGCATATATTGTGTTTGAATTCATTTTACCAAAATCTTATATCTAAGCAAAGTTTTTAAAAAATAACCCTTGGTTTTCATGACATTTATTGATTTAATGAGAAGAAGAGAGAAAGTATTAGTGGCAAGAAAAGCAAAAAAATTTGATTACCTACAAGTGTCTTTTTGGGGGATTTATTTTCAGAAAATACGTAGTGTTTTAAAAATATTATCAAATGTTGTATGGCATGGACTTCAGAAAGATAGATTCCTGGTAAGAAACAGAATTCAAGTCAATTCAGTTAATCTGGTAGCCTCTTAAAGCATATCATTTTTCAAACATCACAATCTAACTTGATCATTTGTCTTAAGAAGCTACACTGACAATTCTATGTGATTACTTTTATAACATGGCAGAGACAATTCTGACCTCACTCATGCCCTAAGATTAAAGTATATAATAACTAACTTTCTGCATCGGATTTAATGAACATTGCCTGGCTAGGCTAGAAGTATTTGAAACTGTAAAAGATATCTATATGTTGACCATAAGTAGAATGGCCACATGATTTATACTCTAAAATTTGGCATTATAATAAGTCCTAATAAATTGGAAGCTATTAATAAAAATAATTAATAGTTATAATTTATCTATAGTATTTATAAGCTGGGATTTTCCTGGGAAACCAGGACATATAAGACCACAAGTCACTGATTTATTCTATAAAATATCACAGGTTATTTTGCAGAACTTTCTTCTAAAAAGAGATCTGGTCACCGAGAAAGACTTTTACAAACTGAAAGGAAGAAAAAGAGGAAAAACGTTCTAAGCGTAGCTTCCCAATCTGGAAACTTTCATATCTCATAAGCAATACAAAGCTTGAAGTTTGGAAGAAGGATGTCTCACTTCAAAGTATAGACAACTTACCGTATATAATGTTAAATGATTTAAAATGAGGCAGGAGCTAGAATGGGATTTTTATGGAAGCCTGACCTTTGGTCTTGCTCATTTCATTGCCAAGTATTTTACTACTGACATTTACTCTGGGCCAAAGTTTGTCTGTACGCACTGAAATCATGCCATTTCGTCCTATGGTATTTTGCTTTTGATTAAGGTGCAATAGTATTAGTTGCCTTATAAATGTAATAGTACTTAAATATTTTATATGAACATGCTATTTTTCAAAAATGTGGTTATGTAAAGGTAATATCTAATTTGATATTAAATATTTAAATGAAGGATTTCTCAAGAGTGAAATGTTGCTACTATCAAGGGTGGTCTGAGATGCGTTCTAAACCGGCCACAGACGTAAAATGGCAGAATGTGAACCACGGAGCCTGTGATCGGCGTCGCTCTATGCCTCTTGCACACTTGTGTCCTGCTTGTGACACGGTGGAATGTTTCAGGCCTCAGGACAGCTGATTTCAACATGGTTGACCCACAGTTACAAAGCTGAAGATGACAATCTTCACTATTAAAATGTTGTCGAAGGAAAATGTAAACTAGATAAAAATAGAAAGAAACACATAATTTAAGCTTGAACAGAGATCAAGGTTTGAATCTAATGCTTCTCAAAAGCCCGTTCACAGACCACCTGCGTAAAGGTTATCTGGGAGCACATTAAATGTTAAATCACAGAATCACAGGCTGCCTGCCAGACCCTGAATCAGAGTCACCGGGCAGGGGGCTTAGAAATCTGCATTTTTAATAAGCACTCCAGGTGATTTCATGCACACTAACATTAGAAGGCCTCTATAATATGAACAGTGGCCAAAAATAAAATAAAATAATTATTCAGTGCCACAAAAGGTGAAAAGAACAATTATAATGACAAATAATTTTCTATGTTTAAAATTTTTTCTTTGGTTTGAATTGCTATAAATTAAGGAGAAAAAGAGAATAAAGTGATAAAAAAAGAACCCAGAGGAATCACTGCAGCAAGTCAGAAGAAACGTGTAAATGCTTGAGAAGAGGCCAAATAATTGCTGGGAGGTGGGAGGTTGGGGGAGCCTGCTTGGAGATCCCTTGGGACTAGCTTCACATCGGTAATTTACAGTCACATCTTCATCTGTCACTTTTACACGTCAGTGGGAATGCCCGGCCTTTCACGCCATGGAGCTCCTTGCAGCGGTCGCTCCTGCTGGCCATCCAATGCAGACCTTTCAGGGCGTCAGGAAAGAACCTTGGTGACACACATTAACACACACACTCCTTTATGTCGCTTCCAATTTACTTTATCTTAAATTGTCAGCAAGGAGAACTTACGCCCATATTAATAACTAGAGGTTTGCATTTAAGCCAAGACAAATAAACCCTGCTGATAGCTTGCAGACAGCTGGTTTGCTGTAAGTAGAGCCAAAAGAAAAGACATGGCTCTTTGTATTTGTAAAAATTTTATAATATTTAAAGAAGGGAACTGGTGGAAGAATAGTTTTTATGTCTTTGTTTAGGAAAGGCATTCTGAGAAAATAATCAAGGTTGTCATTAAACATGATTTTTACTATAAACAGGAGAAAAAATGGAAACATTATTAGGATAAAGTCATGATAAGTTTCAACCATCTGGGAATCTAATTGTGCTAAAGAAAGAGACTCTAAGACATTCTTTTTACTTTTCTAAAAACAAATGAAGAAATTAAGATACTGCTTCTGTGAACCTGATTCTGGTGAGAAGGCATGAAATTATTCATGGTGAGAAATGGGTAAGTACTTTGAAGCTTATCATTTTGAAGAAAATAAATGTTGGCTATAACCAGACATGGGACTAAGATATTTTTTAAAAGTAGATTTCAAAAGTACTTAGAGGAAAAAAAAATAGCAGGTTCATCCTTTGTATGAGCCTTAAAAGGGAATGCAGCTCAAGGGGTGTGGTAGAAAAATGAACTTCAGTTTATACAATCTCCAAATGGAGAAGAAAGGACTTCTAAGGGAACTGATTTAACTGCACAGGAAGCTTTCTCAAAAGCTTGGAATATAAAAGGACATGTAGAAGAGGTAGAAGGAGGGGCACATAGCCAGGAATGAAAACAGAAGAGCAGCCCAGACTTAGAAGAACAATGTCAGAAGGGTTAGAGGACAGAGGGCTGAGGCTTGTGGAAACTGCTAAAGACAGGAAAAGGCTTTGTAAGCCATGTTCAGAGACAGGCTGTGAACAAAGAAGAGCTAGGATCACCACCAGGGAAAATGGTACGGTGTTAACAGGTGACCTAAGACATAAAAGTTTACCAGATTATCATTGTATTAATCTTTATATCCCCAGGGCTAGCACAGTGCCCGTCACCTATCGAGTGTGTTGCAGGGTTTGAATAAATAGATGGATGAAAAGTTCTGGTAGTAAGAACAACTTTGAAAGTGGCAGAATAAACATTATTTTTAAAGAGGAAATTTCAATACAAAGATAAAAAGTGAAATTAAGAAAGGGCTTGGTTATTTTAAAATCACATCTTTCTTTGGACCAAGAAGGATGACATCCCAAGAAGCAAGGATCTGAAAATCTGATATTAAAACTGTCAGTAATAACATTCCGGATAAAGTGTAGAGAAGTTCCAAAGATGCAATCAGTGTACTAATTCAAAATTTCAAAAGGGAAAAAAGACAGATTTGGGAAATTTCAGAACAGTGATCTATTTCTTCCATAATTCTGTGTCTCTTATGAAGCAGAGAACTTGGGATGATTTAGGAAAACAATGATGTTTACAGCCTGCTGAAAAAGAAAAGTGTAATGTAAAATGAATAAAATGTATTTTTCATAGAATTAACTAATCTATCAAGGAAATGTCACATTCATTGTGGTTTCAGCAATCCATTCTGTAAAATTTCTCCTTTGGTATATTTTTATTGCACTTTGGAAAAAATATGGAAAAGTACTGACTTGGTGATGGTTTAGACAAATGGGTTCATAGATTCCTAAGCACACCTCAGGAGAACCAAAATAGAGTGAGACATTCCCAAGCTGCTATATGACTCTGTGATTGGCTTTGTTTTGTTCAATATTTTGAGTAGTAACTTTAAAAAAAAAAAAAAAAAAAAAAACACTGAAGAAGTACTCCTAAAATGTGAATGTCACAAAGCTAGAGACAAAAATAGTATCACTTTGTCAGTCCAAGCAAACTGGTGTGTACTCATCTCTCCCTGCTCCTCTGAGGAGCAGGAATCAGCGCAAGAAATAATCAGAGGACAACTCAGAAGGTGCTGCGGTGGGCTGCATGCCGTTTCCCCCCAAAGATGCCCACGTCCTAATCCCTGGAATCTGTGACTACCTTACACTATATGCCAAAACAGACCTTGCAGATGTGATTAACTTAACAATCGTGAGACAGGGAGATTATGTAGATTACCTGGGAGGGCCCAGTGGAATCACAAGCATCCTTATAAGAGGAGGCAGGAAGATCAGTGTTAGAAAGAGAAGGCTATGTCATGATGGGAGCAAAGATAATGTGAAGATGATATGCTGCTTTTGGCTTTGAACACAGTAAAAGGGGCTACACGCCAAGGAATACAGGAAGCCACTAAAAACTGGCAAAGACAGGCAATGTATTCTTTCCTAGAGCTCCCAGCAGGAATAAGCCCAACCTACATCTGGATGTTAGCCAAATAAAACCCAATTTTGGACTTAGAGACAGCACAGAGTTGCGGAACACTTGCAAAAGAAATCCCACATAACAAATTCCACCTCAAGAAATGCTCTTCATCCCATAGGCTAGAGACTTTCTTCTCCCATCAAGTGGCACTGTCATGGAGAAGCTGCCTCCACTCAGTCAAGCAGTACTGGCTGTGACCCATGAGAGACTCCGTCACACAAGATTAAACAAACTGGCCAAAATAGTACTGCATAGGCTCTAAAAATTAGATCGTCATTGAAACTATAGCCCACAAAACAGGCCAAAACCTATATACTAAACCTAAATAGGATGACTGCATGCTAAAATAAAATGTTTAAATAGGATCCAGAAATTCTTACCATATAGCCAACATTCAAAAACCAAGCAGTATAATCCACCATTTCAACAAGCTAAAGAAGAAAAATCATATGATAATATCAGGTGACAGAAGAAACATTTGACAAAAACCAATATTCATTCATAATAAAAACTACAAGTTAGTAAAACAGGGGAATTACCTCAACTTGATAAAAGAGTTTAGCTAATATCATATCTAATGGTGAAAGACTGAATGCTTTTTCCTAAGACTTAAGGCAAGAAAAATATGAGGCATACAGATTGGAACAGAGAAATAAAACAGTCCATACTTAATGATGACAGAATTATTTAT